TCAGACTAACAATACTCTTCAATTGGATCCTCCAGATAGGAGAGATTCCAAAGAAATGGCAATACAATCTTATCTATCCAATTTCAAAAACCTCAAACTGGCAGTACGACCTCAACTCGACCAGACCCATAGCATTACTGGAGACAATCAAAAAAGTATTCATGAAAATAATTAACAAAAGACTTGTACAAGTACTAACAACACATCAGATCCTATTACATTTTAACTGGGCAGGACTTTCAGGAGAAGGGACACACGAACCAATAATGATTATTAACTATATTATGGAAGAAGCAAGGAAGGCAGAAAAAAAACTCTGAATGCTTAATCAAGACATTAGCAAGGCCTACAACTCAATGGAGCACACAACACTCAACAGGATAATGAACCGCATTAAGATTTTATATTCCATCCAAGAGATAATTATGAATTGCATCACAAGACAAACCATCCAAGTAATCATATAGCATGGACTTATTGAACCCTTCTAGATTAAACAAAGAATAGATCAAGACAACATAATATCCTTTCTTCTCTGGTGTATCTACTATGACCCACTTATCACAAGGATAAAAAAATCAAAATTGGGCTACAAAATGGATTCAAAAACATCCACCATGTGCTTTGGACAATAGAACAGACACACTATACACATATCATCAGTCTCATACATGAATGACATAACATGGTTTACAAACTCAAAGAAAAATATGCAGAAAATCGCAAACCTGATAGACAGCTATGCAAACATCACAGGCTTAAGGATCAATCCCAACAAATCAATACTTTTGACCATCAACAACACTCAACAACCTACTATCCAATTTCAAGCAAAACCAATTTCAGCACAAAGCAAAGAAACAGCAATCAGAATCTTGGGTATATATAATAAGCTTAGGATTCAAAAGACATCAAAAACAACTAATAAAAGATAAAACATTTTTTATGATGAGATGACTACAATCAAAAAAAATCACAGACAAACAATACAGATACATTATCAACCAAGTGCTAACTTCAGCACTAGAATATCTAATTCAGGACACAATCCTGTCTCAACAAGAATGCAATGCAATTAACAGCAAAATCATAGTGCTTTTTAAACACAAATTAGCCCTCCCAACAATAGCAATCAACAGTGAAATCCATCTCCATACAGGATATAAAATCTTCAACATATATGATAGACAGGTGAAACTAATAACCATGAGATGGCTCCAGAATCTCAATGAGACAAACATCACTGGACAAATCACAAGAACAAGGTTACAGCACCTACAGAACTGGGCATGGACCACCAAAGACATCCTGCAGGCTGAATACATTACCACAATGGCTTTATAAAAAAACCTAACAGCACAAATCCTAAACATATTAAAACTAAACAACCTCCAAATAAGAGTGACGGCAGTACACAAACTAACATCACCTCTATTTCGAAACAATTGGACACCAATTGAAGAACATATGTCATACGAATGGTATAATAAAAACAAAACCAATCTAAGAAAACACAACCTTTTCTATCTGAAACAAATAATGAACACCATCAACATACATTGCATAACATGGACACATTTCAAAATCAGGACAGAAGCAAAATATATAGGATGCAAATCCAACTGGTTTGAGGAGATTATTTAACATCAAGAGTACAACAACATTTCTCTCTTCAGGACAACAATAAATACATTCGCCACCTGTGATCTGGCAAATCAAAAGAATATTTGGAAACACAGATACATTTCTACTATTATTAATCAAAGCATATATATAGGAAAGGTAAACAAATGGGCTAGGGTTTTGGAAAACTCATTCAGAGTACAACACTTTATACAAAAAGCAGACAACTCACCTATTGAAAAATGCAAAGGATGCAACATGGATATAGGAGGGAAAACAAACACATGCATCAGAAATATTCAATTAAAGAAGCAATCACACTACCAGTCAAAACAACAAAAACCAGTTCGAAGCCTTTCAACCAGATAATAGGAAACCTCTCACGAATATAAACCTCACCAAACTTGATCAGACAGATGCACAAGTAGAGCAATTCAACACCAGAGGAGGGCAATGTGGTTCACATAGAAATCAATAACAGCACTAGCAAACCAACAACAAATACATCAAACCTAAAGATGTTAAAACTGTAGTGGCCAAAATTACAAGAACTAGAACATACCCAAGAACAATTACAAGATTGGATATTCACAGAGGTATACTCAGATGGATCCATAGAAAAATACGAGAACAATCAGGTAAAAATGGGAGTAGGAGACATAATCATCAACAGGGAAACATTGGAAGAAATAAAATTCAAAGGCAGATGCGAAGGTTTCCCATTATCCACAAGAGCAAAGTTAATAGTAATACTAATAGCAATAATATTTCTCAACCCAAAAACAGAAGCAACCATATTTACAGATAGCCAGAATGCAATTCAAGCAATACAATTCGAAACTACAGTAAAATAAAAGGTAGTAAAAGGAACAAATATACTCACAACAACCATTATCCAGGAGAAGATCAAAGACAAGATAGCAATAACAACACTGAAAAAGATCAAAGTATATATAGGAGAAAAATACAACAAGCGTGTAGACCAGCTGGCCAAGGAAGGCAACGAGCTTGACCATATACACATCATAGGTATAAACTGCCAATACATAAAAGGAATGATAGGCATGCTACAATGGAATGGTAAAGACCTGAACATAGGAATCAATGGATTCATGAAGCAATGGCAAAACAGCAAGTAAATCAGTACATGAGCAACACAAAGCATAACTAAACACAGGCAATGAGAAAATGATAGATTGGAGAAGGACATGAGCAAGCCTGTCACCATCAAAGATTACAAGTTTTCATACCAATCAACAAGATCATAATAACAGAGGGTTCAGATACAAATTACTCAACGAAAAGCTTCCCTTCAAGGACAAGCTAAATGAGAGAAGGCCAGACATATACAAGAATAAAATATGCCCTTGATGCAACAGATGGGAAACCACAGAACAAATATTCAGCAAATACTACAGGAACGAGATTAGAACTACATATCTACAAATACTAAAAGAAGAAATAGCAAGCAGAATAGAAACGCAAGAAAGAAGAAGGAACTGGAGGGAACAACTTGAATTCATCATCAACAACTTAGAAAGAACTATTAGGTACATAATTAAGGGAATCTATGAAAAGGACCTCACTAAGCTAGTGGGACAAATCAATGGAGAAAAAATCAAAGATATATTAAGAATAGTCACAAACAGAATGATAGAGAAACTCTGAGAACTCTGGATCCACAGATGTGAGAGATTCCAGCAATGGGAAAAAAAAGAAAACATAAGCAGAAGAGAAAAAAGGGAAAAAAAACGAAGACTCCAAGTCGATATCCAAGCCACACACACAAAGCAGCACAGGTTATCACTCGAAAAAATGGAAGAAGCAAGAAGACTACAAGAAAAACTCTTAAAGAATTGGCTAGACCGGAAAAAAAACATAATAAATTTTAATTTCTTTTATTATTCATACAATAACAACACTAATGGAACCTTGGCACGTTAGCCTTGACATAAGCTGCAAGGTAAGTCAATAGCAACAAGCTGATATGGAGTCAAATCGATATAGCAAAACATGCATCTAGAATAGTTTATAAATAGTAAGTCTTGTAACAAGAAATACACATGTAAACTAAATAAAGTATGTTAAGCAAGGTCTTGCTAGTTGAAGAAAAAAAAAAAAAACTTTCAAAATCTTTTCAAATTTTATAATTTCTATTATAATATTTACTTTGAATGGCTGATTTTTCTTTAAAGCAAAAATAAGATATAACAAATAAAATAAAAAAATTCGAAAATGTTTTTTAATTTGTTAAATTTTTACACAATATTTATAATCCTGAGTGAGATATACGGTATACCGGTATATCAAGTTGTTGCTTAATTTTAAAATTTTCAAATATTCGATGCGGTATACTGTATTTTATCATATGTATATTTTTCTCTTTTCTTGATTTGATATTTTAAAGAATCACGTTATCGCATTATTTTTTTTAAAAAAACATACAGTATCTTAGATATTGAAATGGATAAGCTTCTAAAAAATATAATCTATCATTTTGGCTATTGTCTCTATTTGTTAATTTCTTGGCGTGCAAATTTTAAAATTTTATTATAAAAAACGTAGATTGTGATAGATGATATTTTTATCAATCTAATAAGCAACGTATCGTATCTATCTTTAAATTATATTTATTATCGTTATGATTTTTAGAAAAACTCGTGTCACCAATTGATAAATACTGTATTTGATTTTTTATATTCCCAATTAATTTAATGTAATACAGAACTTGAAAATGATTTATATTATCCGGCAAGAATTGGTTCCTTCAAAGTCTTCCACGAGGATTTTCGAATTTACACATTGTTTTCATCGGTTTTTTAAAAATTAATCACGTGCATTTATACTGTATAATGTACTCGGAAAATCTTATTAATGCACGTATTAAAGTATATTGTATTTTTATATTTCTGCGTACCTATATACTTATTATTTGGGGAAGGTCAATTAAGAAAAAAATGGTTGACCATTCGACTTTGCATTGTGTTAAAGGTTTCATTTACTTATTTTTTTTTTTAATGATGGGAAATCGACGAGTATAAATTACGATTATATCATTTGCTTTTTAGGTGATTCTCAACACGCGCATTAATTGTAAAAAAAAAAAACAAACGAATTCATTTCCAAATTAATCAAATATCTTTTTCAAAAAGAATGTGAAAAATTAATGAATCTATTATGTGATAGTTTTTGCGAGTAATGCGGAGAATCATACAAAATCCAATTTACAAAAAATACAAATTAACAAAATCCAATAAAACATCTAATCACCATATAACTACTGTTATTGGAAACAGTAAATTTTTCTTTATTCTACAAACATTAAAGGATACATTACATACAATATTAATCAAGTTTTTCAATAAACCTGCTTATACCCGTTATATTAGTTATTAGGTTTGAAGGCAGCATCCCTATGGGACCAACTCCTGAACCTTCACCCCCGTTGCCACCATCATCAATCAATAGCACTGGTGGCGGTCTTATTATTTCGCCCGTTTCGATTCCGTCAATTTGATTGCCCCCTTCTAACGAATCTTCATCCGTTATTCGTTGCTGACCACATTGACTTCTACGTTTTATCAAAATTATCGCGGTTAAACATATCATAGCTGCTACAGCTACGACTAAGCCTATTATTGGACCTAGCGTGTTACTATTGTTCTTTGGATTATTATAAGCGGTGGTCGTTTTGCTACTGGTAATTGTTGGTGATGGTGTTATTTTATTAAGGATCTCGGAAATGCCATATGTACTTGAGGGTTTACTCGCTGAACGGATGCCTGCACTTGTATCTGTGACTGCACTTGAAGTGTCCACAGAACTCGTGACTCCGCTTGTAGTAATTTCGGGTGTGATTTCTGATGAAGCTGTTTGTGTCGGTAAAGTTTCAGAATGAGCGGTGGCAACCTTTGCAGATGATTGAATGGCTGTAAAAATAGACTGAAATGGAGCAGGTGTAGGTTGTGTTTCTGAACTTGCTATCGTGATAAGCGATGGAGACTGCCTAAACGCGGAGAATATAGTTTCCAATGGTGCTGCTGAAGATTCCGATTGTGATTGTGATTGTATTATGGTTCCTAGATTCACTGGAGCACGTGATTGAGACGATGCAGGACGTGACACTATTATGGTTCCCAAATCCACCGATGGGGCATCTTGCGAATTTGAAGATGATGGCAAAATAACTGGTCGCGACGGTGTGGGTACATTCGCGTCTGAGGATATTGAAATTGTAGGAAGTGGTGGGGGCGGACGCGACACTAATATGGTTCCCAAATCCACCTGTGGGGCATCTTGCGAACTTGATGATGGCAAAATAACTGGTCGCGACGGTGTGGGTACATTCGCGTCTGAAGATATTAAAATTGTAGGAAGTGGTGGGGGCGGACGCGACACTATTATGGTTCCCAAATTCACCTGTGGGGCATCTTGCGAACTTGATGATGGCAAAATAACTGGTCGCGACGGTGTGGGTACATTCGCGCCTGATGATATTAAAATTGTGGGAAGCGGTGGGGGCGGACGCGACACTATTATGGATCCAAAATCCACCGATGGGGCATCTTGCGAACTTGAAGATGATGGCAAAATAACTGGTCGCGATGGTGTGGGTACATTATTGCTTATGGGTATGAAAATTGTAGGAAGCGGTAGTGGTGAATTAGCTGGGGACGGTGATGATATCGGTGAATTAGCTGGGGGCGGTGGTAATGTCGGTGAATTAGATGGGGGTGGTCCTAAATCTGACGATGGAGCATTTTGTGAACTTGCATTGTTTGTAGGTGAGGAAGCAGCAGCATTTGAACTTTCCGGTGATTGTATTATATTAGTAGAATCTGGTAAGATGGCTTCAATAGAGATTATATCCTGCGCTGTATTAATATTACTCGTTGTTATCGATGTAGTGGATGTTGATGTACAAGGAGTGCTCGTTCCGGCCGAACTCGTCGATATTATATTTTGTGTTATTGATGGTGATTTTGTATTATTATTATAAATAGAACTTTGGGTTGTTGAGCTCGTACGTGATGAAGGTGATTCTTTGGCGGTGGTGGTTTCCTTGACCTCTTGGGCTGTTGTCGAACTTGTACGTGGTGATGATTCTTTTTCGGTCTCTAGAGTTATTGAGCTCGTACGTGATGATGATAATTCTTCGGGGTTGACTTCTATTAAATTACTTTTGGTCTCGTCTTTTGAAAGAAGTGTATATACATATATAAATTTATATTTATTTATATTTAGAAAAAATCAAAGATCGAATAGCAAAGCTCAATGAATTTACCTCCTGATCTCTTTTCTATTTTAGTTAGGTCAATTTTCAATATTTTTGAATCTATAGATCGTCTATCAACAGAATAGGCGTATACAAATCCTTGAGATAATAGAAATAAGTTAGCGATCGTTGGATTAAAGACAGCCCAGGTGATCTTCAACACTTACCATTATTGTTGTCATTAATAAAAACTACCACGGAAAAAATCAAAGAGCAGATTACGAGACCAATAATGTTCCCAAATTTCATTTATATGCAATTGATAATTAATGCCTTCTAATATTATGATATAATAACGGCGGTAAAGGAGCTTTGAAAAAGTTGTTGGAAGTGAGAAAGAGAAACAAACTTTCATGAGGAAAAAGGGAGAAGGGAAGGGAGGGAAAAGAATGTGTGAAAGGAAGAAGGAAGAGAAAATGGAAGTTAATTCTATCGACATATGACTTTTCTAAGAGAAAATCGAGAACCCCCCCCCCACTACGTGCACACCCTTCGAGGAAAAATAAAACTATCGCTAGAATTATTTTTGTCAGGGAGGATAAGGAAGGGAAAAGGAGAGGAAGGAAAGTGGTAGTTCACAAAGAGAGAGTGGGAAAGAAGAAAAATTTTTTAGAAATTTATGGGTTCATGAAGAATGTGCACTACCGGAAAGAGCATAGGAAAGACAAAAAGGAAAGACAGTGGTTGTTTTGTTGTGCTTATAATAATTATTATTTTAGGTATGTAGGCTCATGCCGTCATGTTATGGCTCACAGTTCAAACGGTAAGACATTCTTGATATGATAAAAAAATATTGTACATGTATAAGCCATTAATGAGCTGCGACACCCAAAAAATTAAGCGATTCGATAATATACATTTGTTCCTTTTCCGGAAGTTAAATAATGCAATTATGTTGAACTCATAAATTATACGTTCGACAAGAGTGGCGATTGTAGGACAATCGAAAGTTATTTGATGAGTGTTAAAGTGATTACTTTTTATGGAATATACAAGTGCATGATTTTTTTTGTCGGTTTGTGCCGCATTCGGTATCTCGGCATATCATGAGTGGTACACGTATGTTGATAATGAATACTGAAGTTACTCAATAATTAATTATTTCATTAATTCTATTTGTCGCGTGTTACTGGCTCTGAAATTTCAATAAATATTGCATATTGTTTGAACAAAAAATCTTTTTGAGTAATTATCCGTCGAAAATTTGAGCCTTCGAATAATTAGGGGAGAAGTGCATTTGAATATTCCAAATCTCATTTAAGTGAAAAATAAGATAGTCCCATATACGTCGCCTCGAAAGATTAAGAATGCGAAAGGACGATTATCAGTACAAAGGGGTTGAACATGTGTTAGAAAAACGTGGACGCATCATTAAGCCCTGAACTCAAAATACCAAGATCACGCACGGGACTACCTGGTACCATGGATACACTCGTATAAGAACGGGTATTTGGTGTCTAGAACTCGGATAGTGGCACAATACGATCATGTCTGGTGGTAAAGTTTATTTCTTATGTTGTGCAAATATATAATTTCTTATGGTGCACCATATAAATCAAAATGAATGCACAATAAATAACTTTGTGATGACAAACTATGTGAAGCAATCAATATAACCAGGCAAATTTGGTCATTTATTTCAATGTTCTCTTACCGCCAAACTCCGAAATTTCGATTTTGGATAGGAACGGGAACATTCATTTTCGCGTAAAACATGAATTGTGCTATTATCCCGTATCCATCCACCAATAAGAAAACGTCAAATTAGTACAAAAAAAAAAAAACCTTGACGAAATGGTAGGCATCATTGTGTAAAATTATTAATGTTTTCGCGCTTTACCATTTTCGAATAACAGTACGTATAGACAAGGTTGTCGGAACGAACCTAAAATACTGTACAATTGGAATCTCAGAACATCCCATGATTTGTTGTATGAAGCATTAGTAAATTGTAATGTAACAAGATTTCTAAATTGGTCCGTACGTTGCAAATATCAATATAAGATTGATTTGTTAATACATGTGAACGGATATAAAGTATCCCGAGTTTTTTCAATAATGCACTGTTGTGCTTATTCGAAGAGTTACTTTGTTACTTTGTTAGACTTTAGATATCTAAATATTAATATCTAAAATTGGTGATTATTAACCATCCCATAGACACGAACGATCTTTATGGTAAATGTTTTATGCGTTGTGCTTCTAATGACCTAACTTAACACAAATACATTCAATTCCTATAATAGTATGATGCAATATTACCCTATACAGCGTCGACAAAAATGACAATAAAAATGGAAGGTCATGTCATGTAGAACGAATTAATAATCATATATTTCAGCGTGAAAGAAAAACAAAGTCCTCTTTTTCTTAAACGGGAGAAACAGAGATAAATAAGTACAAAGCATTTAGCCAATCACGCTCAACAAAGACAAAAAAACAATCTAAATTTCAACAATCCTATTCAAATGAATGCATTGTAAATAGGTCAAGCTATTGAAACTGTTGTTTTTATTCATGTATTATTTAAAAAAATGATTTGATAGTATCAAATAGGATTCATCTCATTTTGACTTGTAAACTTTTACAAAATAAGATTGAAAAGGAAATATTTATTTACTTAAAACATAGAAGAGCATTATATACAAAAGATTTATTACTTTGTATATTTATAATGTCACAATATCTTTACAGAATTAACTCTATAAATTTATATTAGCTTACCTACGTTGTTAAGTTGACACATGTATGAAAAAAAAAAATACAATAGCTAGTATTCTAGTTATATTGTATCCTATATATGTTTTCATAATATAACAATAATTGATTTTTACTTTAACTTTACAAACAATAATTTTTTAAGACGCGATCTTATAAATTTATATTATCTTACTTTGCAATTGTTTAATAATAAATCAAACTTATGATATAATCATTTGTTTTGGTCTTAATTTTTTTTGCAATAAATAAATATTTTTTATCATATCTTATTTCAAATTTACAATTAAAATAATAACAATAAATAATATTAAATATAATATCTAATATATATTTTTAATAAAAGATCTAAATTAATTAATTTGATTTTAAAATTATTTTTTTTTTGAAGGAGTTTTTCCTATGGGTAAATATTATTTCTTTATTTGATATTATATATGACAAGATATATATTGTAAAAGAAACAATATTTCTCATATATTGATACAATGAGTTAAATACTAGTTTGCCTATAGTAATTATATAACTAATATTGAAAAGAAAGTTTAAAACAATATATCTTGCCATATAATATCAAATGACTATAAATATCTATTCAATATTAGGAAGAATAGTACTTGATAGTGATAATATTAAATTTTGAATATATTTAAGATAGTTATAATTATATTGAATAAAAAAGTTAGTAACTATTATAGATAAATCAATAATGGTTTCATTTTGAATAATGCTGAAATATAAAATTTCTGTAGAGACAATAAAACTTTTTTTTGATTTGATTAGATTAATAATATTAAGTGATTTGTTTATGTTTTATTTAATACCAATAAAAGATAAAGTATCAACAATATTACAATATAATTTCCAAATTAAGTTATATAATTAAACTAAGAATTTTATTAATATCTTAACTCAACTGGTAAGGTCTGCAATAAAAATTTTTTTTGTTAATTATATTATATAAGAATTTTATTATTTACCATATATGAGAAATTGGTTTAAAGTTGTTATTTGAGTGAAAAATTTGATTAATATTGTCTATAATTTGATTGATCTTTTTTAAAGCTTTAAAATACTTGAAAACATATTAAATATTTTCAGTATAAAGCTTACATATTGGACATTATATATCTGGATATTGGTTAAAATAATATTAATAAAATATTTGACAAGTTGAAAGAATTTTTAAAAATAATTTAATTTTAAATACTATTAAGTTATTATAATTGTTATTATATATTTTTTTGATGTTTTTATTGAAATAATTAATAATTTTTAAGTTATGTAAAGTGTAATATTGTCTAAAGGTTTAAAAAACTAAAAAACTTTTATAAATTATATAGTTTCTAATAATACTGAAAATTTTTTTGTACTATTTGATACTACTGCCCAAACATATATTGTTAATTAAAGGATTTTCTGAAAAATGAAATAAAAAATTACTTCATTGAATTGTTTTAATCATTATTGAATTGGATTTTAGTTTGATATATACAATTTCTATTGATTTTTATTTTATAACTTAATTTATCTTTTGCATCAAAAAAATTATAATAAAAAAAATAAAATATTAAAATAATAATATAATACTATAGAATTAAATAAGTATCTAATCACATAAAAGCACTGCAGCCAGTTTATACAGGTTGGCCTCCAAGTCATGATTAGGATTGGCATACCTGCTTTCCAAATATGGCTTGATATATAGCAAGTGGAATAGTATTGGATGTGGTAGAAAGTAATTACCTTTTTGTATGAAGGCACTGCAGCCACTTTATACAAATTTGTCTCCAAGTCACAAAAAGGATTTGACACACCCATGCTTCAAATGTGATAAAAGTGTCTTATGGGTGAAGTTCATATTGGTTTTTTTAGTGGTGCCAGAACCTAACCTTATATAATAGACTTACATTGTCAGAGGAATAAGCAAGAAACTTTTATTGTTGTTACCAGCTTGTGTTGTGGAGGTAACTAGAATCTCTAATCGTCATGTATTACCCTACTAAGTTTTCAATCACCAGCATGACACCTGCAACTAACTTAGCTTATTGCTAATTGCATTGGCATTGGCTACTATTTCACTCTGGATATTGTGGGATGTAACTCCTTGGGTACTTTCAGATAATAATAGTTGTATAAAGATTTCTTAAATGTATCTAGTCTAACTGTCAATCAGTAAACAATTCCAGGTTTGGTAATGATGGCCATGTCGATCTTTTAGAGAGATAAGCCATTCGTCCTTTTTCTGAGGAACTATGGAAGAGAGAAAAAGTTCCAAAGCCCATATCCTGAGAAAAATTATCACTTCTTAATATGGTCCTTGAGAAAAGAGAGTTAACTGATCAAAGGAGTGATATTATGGAGACAGAGTTTTCAAAAGAGAGAGAGGTATAGAAAGAAAAACCTTTAGAAAAAAGAAAAAAACCTAGCTACGGCAGGAAGAAAAAAGAGGAAAAAGGAGGGGGAGGATAAAAAATAAAAAAATATATATATAGAATAAAGGAGAGAGAATAAGGAGAGGGAAATAAAAAGATAGAAAAGAAGGCATAGAAAGAGGGAAAGAGGGAAAATGAAGAAAAGGAGCAGACAACTCAAAGATTTTCTAAAAAGGAAAATTTCAAGTATAGAAAGAGAAGTAGGAAAGAGTTTTTTTTTTTTTAGTGAAACGTGCGCATGGTGCGTAATCTTTATTGATATGTTTATATATCCAGATAGACACCAAGTATCTTTACAAATTAACCGATGATCAGTTGATACAGGATACTCTTTATGTCTTTGCAGTTAATCTGCAAATTAACACTGCCTAATACATATATTACTATAAGACTAGCTACACTAATCACTATTACCCAACTATAAGTCCATTTAAACACTAAGAAGATGTATTCACATGTCAGGTGGGACTTTCGCAGGGGGGAGAATCCTACTACTAGTTTAAACCTGCCTAAACCTGCTGGTCCATTATTGTATGAAGCAGTGTATATGGAATATTATTATAGAGACTAACCCCAGAATTCCAATCTTCTGTTATCGTTGATCCTCAGGATGTGCCACTAGCATAGCGTCGCACTACCATTTTCACCACCTGTGAAATTGACATCCTTGCTTGGATTCTGATTTAATCTTGTAGAATCTTACTAGACTCACTTGGCTTAACAATTTTTGTCTAATATTCTCACCACCTGTAGCTGATACTTTGTCCTTCGGTCATATGATTAAGTTCTGTGGAACATCACCATTGGGATAGATCTACAAGCTCCAGATTGGGATAGATCAGCTTAGAATTAACCTCTTTATATTGTATGATGAAGTCTGTTGTCACCAGTTTGGATTGGAGTTTTGTGGCTTATTACCGGAATTAAACCAGAAACCTTTTCTCATGCAACCTTTCTTGCTTCAACCTGTTTTCAGCTCACAATCATCAAGAAGACCAAAGGTTCCATCTTTATGCAACCTAACTAAATAATTGTTTATCGGCTGATTGGGTATGACATGAATTGGAAGCCAATCAACTAATCATAAAGATGATAAATTTTTGTAACCAGGTGGGGTTGAACTATACATGTGGTGTAAATTATTTTGCTGTTGATTCAATTCCCAAAATCCTCAAAAATAATTGCGTCATGACTCAATTATTTATATGTTTTAATAGTGACTCAATTAATTGTGTCAAGGATCTACAAATTTCAACAACATGTATAGGTTGAACTCTAGATCTTCTTCTGGTGACCTATGGAGCACTACCACTGTGTTATGGACCCATAGGTTTAAGAGTTTTTTTTTTTTATAATATAACTAAATTAAAAAAGTATATAATTGATATTTTATATAAATTTTTATTTATACTTATTAATTTTTTATATTAATATATTATCAATTATATTATTATTTTATTAATTACAAAAACTTTTATATTATTTTCAATAATAATGTTATTTATTATTATTTTTTTTTGATAAACATCAATTCTTTATTATATATAT